TACTACTGTGTCTAACAACTAGTTTGATTATAGTTACATTCACCAAGGGAGGAAACGCCATTAAAGGAGAAGGAAGGGTATAAAGCACAAAGGAGTTCATGAGTTAAGGTTTTAAAATGTTGAGTTTAGGATGCCCATAGCACATCCAGGTAGAACTATCTAGTAGAAAGTCAGAAATATAAATATACTTCTGAGGCTTTTTGAAATACTGATATATTTCTTTTACCTAAAACACCTATATAAAGGGGACATCTTGAAAGAACATTAAAGTCTAATGGAAAATTCTCTCTTCTGAAAAATATCCTCCAATCAGCCCTGGAGTGAATTGCAAGCACTCTTCCTTGGTGTTCCAAGAGTAGCCTGTGCAGTTATAATACCAGGATGGAGTTAGTTGCTTGATTGGCTGACTCTTCAGTTAAGCCAGGAGCTCCACTGCATAGAGCTGTACATAGCAGACCAGAGAGTAACAGTTTTGATGATGTCACACCACTCCCCTAATACTAATTTCTCCAGTGAGTTCCCACTGCCTAAGAATCAGCTCCAAATGCTTTAGCATGGTATCCAAAGCCCTACATAATTTTGTGTTCACATATCTGCCTCAACAGTCTCACTCTGAGGTCTCTAAAAGCTGGAATAAACTCTCTGCTGAGGCAAACCAGTTATGTACATTTCTGCAGGGTCTGAAAATTGATTTTTGTCATGCCCTAGAATTACCAACTCAGGGATGATGACTGGCACTAACAAAGCTCACAAGAGACTAACGTCTAAAATCCGAATGCCAATGAAATAATTTACATTGAGAAATTTAATTGCTGAGCCGAACTGATGTTCATGTTTCCCTGACCAGTTCATTCCTCCCAGTAGGCAAACTACATGAAAAACCTAATTATCAAAAGGTTGCTTGATGAGTGTGGAGTCAGAACAAGGGGAATTACATGAATAGAATATCTAATGGCATTCAGCTGTGCTAGCCAGTGTTCAAGAGAACAGGATCCCTACATAGGATCCTCACATCAATTTGACTTGGTGCCCTAATCTGGAGAGTTCTTGGATGAACAGCGTTGTTTGGATCATCATTTGTACTTCTCTTTATGTATGTTATTACATTGAATAAATTTATCATCAAGGCTTGCTGGACTGGAAACCTTACAGGTTTCACTGTAGTGACTATCTTCATCTCTGCTTTAATTATGTGTTAATTTCTAGCTTAACCCATAGAAAGCAGTGCTATTTTCTAAATTCCTAAGTTTGGAGAAAGTGCCTCTCATAAACTGGTAGTCTTCCTTGCTTTGTGGCCCTGCCCAGGAGTCAGCTTCTCTGACCCCAGCCTCAAAGAGCCCTTCCTCCCCTGAAATCCTGCAGCAGCCTTTGCTGGGGACCACACATTTGGTGCACAGTCCATGCTACTTGTGCTTGCTCTTTAGCTTTTCATATGTTTGTGTGGTCTTCCCTTGGAGGACAGAGGTGTGCATTCAATATTTGTGTGAGTAATTAATGATGAGGTCCAGCTTTTCATTTTTTCTCAGTAAACCCCTGGTTACAGTACCTATTCCTTGGGTGGCTTTCTGTTTGTAAAAATTATGGCTATTATTATTATTATTATTATTATTATTATTATTATTTGAGACAGAGTCTTTCTCTGTTGCCCAGGCTGGAGTACAGTGGCACAGTCTCAGCTCACTGCAACCTCTAGCTCCTGGGTTCAAGAGATTCTCCTGCCTCAGCCTCCTGAGTAGGTAAGATTAGAGGTGTGCACCACACCTCGCTAATTTTAGTATTTTTAATGAAGGTGGGATTTCGCCATGTTGGCTAGGCTGGTTTCAAACTCCTGGCCTCAATTGATCTGCCCACCTTAGCCTCCCAAAGTGCTGGGTTTACAGGTGTGAGCCACTGTGCCCAGCCAGAATATTATTTCTTTCATAGCTATGCTTGAAAATGTCAGCATTCTTTAAAATGGCATCCTTTTTTCAGAAGGGTTTTTCTATTGAAAACAAAATAAAACAAACTTCATCTCTAAAACCTGAGATGATAATATGTGGCCTTTATTACAAGATGCTAACTGTAGCAATTTGGGCTTTATTTTCTTAGACTTGGATCACAGGTCAAGCAAATGGTCATAACATTTTAATGACTTTGCCCTGATATAAAGAGAGAGAGATAAACAGAATAAGCTGAACTTTTTGCATGAGGACCTGTAAATCTTTGACCTCCCTTGACACAGCATACTTAGATCCACATCATATGCAGTGTCATGCCCCCTGTAGACACTTCATAAAAATTAATTGACTTGAAAAATAGTCTGAGGTGTATTCCATGAGACCCAGTAATACAAATAGCTCAGAGAACTCTGCTACTACTTTCCTGTTAGCAGAGTATCTTGTTTAGGAATATGAACCCAATATCACACTAATGACATCTGAAAACGGTATAGGGTTCAGAGAGCATTTTAGCAAGAGCTTTAAATAAAGACTTAGAAGTCCTGAAGTGTAAACCATAAGTGAATCTTCACTTACATATGCTGCCAGTTTTGTCTCAAGTGTGGCAATGCTGTGGCTGTTACTCAGCCTCCTTTGAAGTTCATTCTTGTATTTATCCCTGGATTCAATGTCACACTGCTTTCTTCCCATTCTTGTTTTCTTTCCTTCACTCCTTAAACAAATGTGTATAGTACCCCTTACTCTAACGGAAGAATTATGCTAGTTGGTAATAATACAAAGATGAGACGTTGTTATCCTCAAGGATAAGTGGGCATATCAGTGGGCTTCCTACAAGTCAGTACAGAAGGAGAAACAGTGAGTTACATGGTTCTTACCTAACAGAAGAAAGCATACCAATTCTCCATTAAATAAAATTTAATTGGGTCTACATCACAAGATGAATTTCTCATGTAGTGTCTTATCGAAGAGCTTTTATTTCTTAGTTTTCTATGTGTATTCATATCCAGTGTCTAATGTACTACTGAGGATAGTGCTGAAAACCTTTTCACTAATTAATCTTTTTCTGATTCTGTTGAATATAGGGGAGAAATCTTGGAGCCTGAAGATCAACTTTGTGAAAAGGGGCCGGAAAACACCTTAAACTATCAAAATCACCTTCTCTTGGTTATTGGACAATAGCTCTCACACACACAGCTCTTAGTAGATGGGAAGAAATGAGACACTCAGTTCACCTCTCCTATGCATGACCATCATTCCTTCACCTTTTCTCAAAACAACGACAGCTGGGTGGTGACTAGGCACAAAATGCTGCCCTTGTGAACTGAGAGAATTAAACAGAACACAGAGGACTGACAAGCAGGAAGTGCTGTATGAGTCTGTCTGAATCTCCAATAACATTTTGGATTTCTCAGGAGGGCCACACGGTATAAGCACAAGGTGTTACTAAAGCCAGTCCTGCTGCTAGAGGCCATATGGAGAACTGGGGGCTTCTTACTTGCTCCTTAAACACCCCAATTATTTTCCCAGTAAGGACAGTGTAGAACCCTACCTGAAAAAGTTACAAATGAGCCAACTATGTCTTCCTGTAGTTATGCCCCCATGGTTTTACAATGCTTTCCTCTGTTCTTGGATTGAAGGCAGAGGAAGGTCTGCCCACAGAATGACCAGCTCACCTTTGAAGGTCTTTGTGGTGCTGGAGGCATCACAAAAGGCCCCAGGTAAAAATAAATGACTTTCCTCACAGTGATTATCACAGTCATTTGGACTTTACCTGAACTACCCGGTTCCATTATTAAATTCTAAATAATGGAAGACAGGCGATCTGACCTCTTTTGCTACACCTAAAACCAGCCAGGCCTAATTCTGCTTTCTTATCTATGGCCTAGAAAGGCACACCTGTAATCGGTATTTTCTCTTTCTAAATGTGTCAGTCTATTTATTACAATTATTATTACTGTTGAATCTGATTTATACCTAAAGTTCCCTTGAGGCTAATAGGGTACATTCGATGCTTACAAACAAGTTATTGTAAAATGGATATAATTATAGTAAAAGTAACTACCACATTGAATGAGGCTGTTTGTATACTAGACAACAAAATGTATTCATGGTGTTACCATGGAGAGAATGGAGAGATTTTGAACTCATTTTAAAGAAGGCACCTTTATTCTAAGTGTGCCTTTAAATGAGTAACTTGAAACAAATGACTTGGCTTTTTACAAAATTAGAACAAACTGAATATACATCTCTTTAAAGCTGGGCTATTACAGGGACATAACAGTAAATGCTAATGTACATACTGATGGTTGGCACATGCAAATGAGCATGCTGGTCGCTGGTTCACATCGCCATTCATTACGGCACACAACTGCCAGAAATCAAAGTTAAGCAAAAAGCAGCTACCAACTGCATAGTCTTCCCTCCTTATGGAGCCATTTTGCCCCACAATCCCCTTTGTGATTAGCAAAAAGCTTGGAAATAGAGGCTGAAATAAATAAGAGGACTATGAATTACTGGCTAATTTTAAAATAGCACAGAACCTTGGAGAGGGAAGGAGGCACCAGCTGAGATGAGTACATATTTCCCTAGAGCATTTCACATGATGCATTGGTGAATGACTGCCTCTGAGAAAGCACTCTGATCTTGGAAGCTGAGCGACACAAATACTTGGCGTTGATGAAGTGGGCATGGCAACCCTGCGTTCGCAATGGTGAGTCCCAGAGTAAACAGGTGCATAAAGCGACTTGAATGAGTTTGCTTCTCTACAAAGTGGTTAAATCTCATAAAGGATTTTTTGTCTTCTCTTTTTGAAAAGTACAAACAGTCAGTCTAATAATGTAAGGCAGTTCATTTCCTGAATGGGGGAAGATATTCATGACTCATAGAAAGATTTATTCTCTGTACTTTCCCTGTGTAAATAAGGTGAAATTTAGGCAGAAATAAGTCATTTCCCCCTCACAGCAGACACAACTCTCCATTAACTGGAAAACAGTACCTCCCCCATCCCCAAAACCTTTCTGTGTATGTTTAAAAAAGCATATTCCCAACAAAGGAATTGCTTACCTATTGGCAACAGGCCCCTTGAAATCTGGGTCGTATGTCCTTGGATCACCTGCATTTAAAACAAAGATCTTTTAAGCATATAAGCCAGCAAAAAAATAAATATAAAATATTAATAACAAATATCTACATATTGGTTAGTTCACTACTCAGTGCAGTGATGAATTCAAACTTTGGTTCAATGAAACATTATGTCCTGGTTACAGTTGTCAATCCTTTCTCCTCTTTCCAGCTTAGAAGGGGCACTGAGAAGACTGGTTAAGGAACATACTCCATACACAGGTGAATGTATCCTCCCACCGTACTGAGCATCAACATTAACAATTGTATCCAGGGTAGTAAAACTTGAAGCCCTTCTGGGCTGCAAAACCATTTTACCATCAGCCATCACCAAGTTTGCTGAGGACTTGTGTGGTGCACATTTTAATATGATACCTGCTTATCTCGTTTCACTCATTCCTCTCAGTAGACTAGGCTTTCCTTCGAGAAGTTCAAATACTAGTTACTGTTGGTCTCTATCACGTTGGCTGTATGGTATATAAAAATTAATGTTCTATTACAGAAACATTTTTATTGCATTTTTTTCAACATACCGGCAGACTTTATGCCATCTGGTAAGGTGCCCTTGTCACTCTGTTGCATTAAGACTGTGATCTATTACCCTTTTCTATAAACAGTAAAAGTACACATGGAATGGCTTTTTTCTCCCTACATGTACTGTGTGGGCAGACCCAGTAGCAAGTTATATACAGTCATTCCTGGCCAAGGGTTTGCATTTTGCAATCCCCAAACTCTTGACTCTTCCCCTACAACCTAAGCACTCCCATTTGTTCCTCTAGGGATTCATCCCTATAAAAAGGTCTGGTCCTGAATTAGAGATAAAATTTTCCTGTTTGAGACAGTCTATATGTACTCCGGTGCCAAGTTGTCTAGAACACTGTCAGCCTCTCTTTTTTGGACAGCTTGTCTGCCTCTGCCTCACTGCAACAGATAACATGAGGAGTGTTTAAGTCCCCTTTATCTGAGAACTGACCATCCCCCTGTCCCCCAGTCCACAGGAGTAGGTTTCTAGTAGCCACATTTCTTCTTTGTGCCTGTTTTCTGGCCATGGCCAACTGCATCTGGTTTAGACATTGGATCCAAGCTGGGCAAGTCAGATTCTCAATCCCAGAAATTTAGAATTAGAATGGACAATGAGTTATTCTCAGTTGAAGATTGGAACTGCAAAATATCAACCTTTAAACAAGAGAAGCAGAGAAATCTGGCTTTCAGAAAGAAGTTATTGAAGTAAGTGTTCAAAGAGAAGCAGAGGTTACAGTCCTAATGGCCTTTATCCTGTGGCCTAGTTCCCACCTGAAGCCCAGGGTTGAGTTTCATGAAATACTTTATAGCCTTAATCTGTTTTCCCTTTTCTCACTTTTAACTAGTTCAAGTCAATTACATGTAACAAAATAACCAAAGAGCCTTAATAATTCACTCTCTCGGCTTACATTTCAACAATTTATTTTAACATTTTTTGGATCCTTGCCATGAACAGGTAGTATCAGGAAATGAAGAAGAATTTTTTAGACTAAGTCTGCCTTTCTGAATCTCAGAATTAAATAAGACATATAAGCTCGACAGGGCTGGGCATGGTGGCTCACACGTATGATCCTAGCACTTTGAAAAGTCAAGGTTGGTGGACTGCTTGAGGCCAGGAGTTCCAGGCCAGCCTGAGCAACATGGCAAAACCTCAAATTAGCTGGACATGATGTCCCACACCGGTAGTCCCAGCTACTCTGAAGGCTGAGGCACAAGAATCCCTTGAACCCAGAGGGTGGAGGTTCCAGTCAGCTGAGAGTGATACTGTACTCCAGCTTAGGTGACAGAGCAAGATGGAAGGGAAAGGGAGGGGGCGGGAGGGGATGGGAGGGGAG